TCTGAGGATGTTGTCATAAGTTTCCACGTCTCCACCGTGGGGCCCAGAGGATGGGAAGTCCACATCAAACCACTTGCTCCACGAGCACTGGTTCATGCATGTGGTCACAGTGTTCAAGTGCCTGGTCTCAGGAGGGGTGGTGGTTGTCCTGTTTGCAGGGGTTGTATTTGAGGTTGATGAGGAGACCTTAGTTAGGGGAGTTGGAGAAACAGTGGTTGGAGGGACAGAGGTTGTGCTGGTGTTTTGGAAAGAGATTGAAGGTGTAACAGCCACAGTGGTGGGAGTTGTTGCAGATACATGGAAGTGAGTCGCTGAAATACGTGTGGTGGTTGTAGTACTAGAGCTTGAGCCGGTTGTGGGAATAGAGACTGTGGTTTTGGGAACTGGAGATGGTGTGCCTGAAGTGGTTGTTGTTTGAGAGGTTGCAGTAGTTGTAGGGACAGATGGAGGGGCCATGTGTGTTGTCCCAGGTGAATGAGTAGTGACAGTTGTGCACACATCCACAATGCTGCAGCAAAGGATGCGGATCTCATAGTTGTAGCAAATCGGAGGCTGCTGGTCCTTGTTCAGACAGAGTAGCCCTTCTGTCTTACTACAGGTTACATTCTGCCCTAGTTCGTTTAGTGGGATGTGTGGGAACCACTCTGCTCTGCACTCCACTGCTTTAGGGTGCTTACAGATATCGTAACCTTTGGCTCTCAAGTCATGGAAAGTATCAAAATCTCCACTGTTTCTATCAGGCTTAGGGTAGCTGCCATCAAGCCATTTGGTCCACTCACACCTTTCTTGTAAGCAAGAGATCGTACTGGGCTTAGTATAGGATATTATATCTGTTGTCTCTAGTGTTTGTCTAGAGGTTGAAACACTTGTTTTGATGGTTGTGAAGGAGCCTGAGGTATGTGTGAACATACTCAGTGAAGGTGTGTGAGTACCTGAGACAAGTGTGTGGGTACCTGGGGCAGATGTGGAAGAGCCTGGGACAGGTGTATGAATGCCTGTGACAGATGTGTAGGTACCTGGGACAGGTGTGTGGGTGCCTGAGACAGGTGTATGAGTGCCTGGGACAGGTGTTTGAGTACCTGGGATAGGTGTGTGAATACTTGGGACAGGTGTGTGGGTACCTGGAACAGATGTGTGAGTATCTGGGACAGGTGTGTGAGTACCTTGGGCAGGTGTATGGGTGCTTGGAACAAGTGTAGAGAAGCCTGGGGCAGGTGTGGGGGAGCCTGGGACAGGTGAGTGGGTGCCTGGGGCAGGTGTGGAGGAGCCTGGGGCAGATGTGTGAGTACCTGGAGAAGGCATATAAGTTCCTGGAACAGGCGTGTGTGTGCCTGGGGCAGGTGTGGAGGAGCCTGGGGCAGATGTGTGAGTACCTGGAGAAGGCATATAAGTTCCTGGAACAGGCGTGTGTGTGCCTGGGGCAGGTGTGGAGGAGCCTTGGGGAGGTGCTGTGGCAGCAGTAGAGAGACTGGTATGGAGTGTCCTGTGTGTGCCAGGGGTGGAGGTTGAGGCTGTGCTGCTGCTGCTGAGAGTGGGACAGGGCAGTGGAGAACAGCACAGAATTTGGATCTGGTAGTTGTCACAGAGCCCTGAGGCCTGGTCTTTGTTGTAGCAGATCAGTCCCCCTGTCCGACTACATTCCACGTGCTGCCCCAGTGCCTCCAGGGGCACATCAGGCATATTCTCAGCACGGCACTTCACTTCCTTGGGCTCCTGACAAATCCTGAACCCGTGGTCACGTAGGTTCTGTAGTGTGTCAAAGTCTCCACTGTCCACTCCCTGCCCTGGGTGGCTGACGTCCAGCCATGGAGTCCACTGGCACAGCTCCCCACAGCCTGGGACAGATGCTGACTTGGGAGAAGTGCCTGGAGCTGTTGAGAGGATCTTGCTTGTAAATGTGCTTACTGTAGACTGGGGAGAACTCCCCGCTGTGGGCAAGAGAAGGTTAGTGTTTGAGTGTCACGATCACCGCAGCCTAAAGAGACCCTCACCACTGCCCACCAGCTTTCAGTTTCTTTACAGCCCATCTCACATCTGAATGTGGGTCACATTGACTACCTGTCTTCACACCCCTGGAGTTCAGCAATAGTGGGGGGGGCACTCCCTGAGGAACATGCACATTGGCTGAGTGAATAGATGGATAAACAGTTCTTGCTCAAGAGGAGTGCTGTTCCCAGGTGACATCTCACAGCCTCAGAGGTGTCCTTGTTTGCTCTTGGAGTAATGACAGGGTTCAGGCAGCCCTTAGACACCACCTCATCAGGAGAGGGTGAGGTCTTAGCAGTTAAGTGTGCATGCAAGTTGAACAACAGGAATGACTTGGGTAGACTCCCCAGGTGCATGTTCCAAGTCTCCCCATGATATGTCACTCTAGCCCTGCCCTGTTGGGGCTCAGCATGGGACCCAGCTCTCTTCTCTAGCTGTGGAGGAAACTCCAAAGGACATCAGGGACATCTCTGTGTCCTTGCCTGTCCCCCAGAGTTTGCCTCTGGCTGCAGAGTTCAAGTGAATGTAGGAAGCTTAAAGATCAACTTGGTGGACGAGCCCCATGATGGCACCTAAGGCCTCTCTGCTGATAGTCACTCTCAGGCAAGAGCCACATGCAGTCTTACCATTTGGGGTGGTGGAGAAGGAGAAAGTGGTGGTGGGTGCAGTGCTGGTGTCACAGAAAGAGACCTCCCTCTCAATGGTGCCGTTGGCCACACAGCGGGCAGTGATGCAGGACCCAGTGCCGTCCGCAGTGTGATAGATGACATCCCCAGGGTGGAATTGCTGCCCACCATAGGTGCAGATACAAGCTATGAAGAACAGATAGCAAAGTGTAAAGAGCCAAGGTTCAGTGCAGGCCCTGATCTCACACCCAGGAAGGTCAACCTTGACTCACCTTCAGCATCGTAAACACATTCAACACCATTCTCAGTGCAGATACTGGAAAAGAAGGAAGTCCGTTGGGGCTGGGCCAGGTGGGTGGTGGGCTTTCCATTCATGTGTTCTGGACCCTGTCCACCTCATCTGCCCAGTCCAGCAACTCACCAGGTTTTACAATTCTCGCTAGATGGCACAGAGGCACCTGGCCGGTAATCCTTGCCCCGGACACGGCAGGGTGGTGGAGGTGGTGGAGTCGAGCACTGGGCTACACACTGCATCTCATCCTCATCAAAGATGGGAGCCTCTGGTGGGCACTTGGGGTAACAGCCTGAAGGATGGGATACATGAGTCCTAACCACACTCAGTCCTACTGGCCTGGGCCTCACCTGAAAGGCTATGCCTGGTGTACACAGCAGCTGTGAAGCCTCCTCTTGTTTTAGGAAGGATTAGCCTGACTGAGGGTCCACAGCATAGGTAGGCTCCCGGCCCCAGATCATAGTACCCCCAGGATATACCCAACACAGAATCCAAGACCCAGAACAGACCCCAAATCAGACTCTAAAGACCGAGAACAGACCTCAAGATAGATTCCAATAGCCTAGGACAGATGTCAATACAGATCAGGGAAACCTTAACACAGCTTCTAACACAGGAACCAAGAACTCAGGGCAGATCTTAAATCCCAGGATCCCACAACCAACCCAACTCAGATTCCAGGAACCTTGGGACAGTCTTTTGCATGAACCAAAGTATTCAGCTCTACCCTCTGAGCCAGCAGGGCCCCTGTCCCACTCTCAGACTTCATGAGGAACCCCCCTCACCCCTCAGGTGACTGAGACCCAGAAATTACATGCCCCTCACCTTCCAGGCCATGCACATCATGGAGGCAGCGCCCACTAGGATTCCGGCAGGTCCTCATGCAGGGGGCCCCGCATGGCTGATAGTGCCACTCACATTCCCCATTGGGGTTGTAGTAGTCACAGAACAAGGCTGTCAGAGAAGTGAGAACTCAGTGAGGCTGTGGGTCAGTGCTTGGGACTAGAAGACCTTCAGTAACCTCTGACATACAGCCTCTAGGTGGGAGCAGCATCCCTGATCCAAAGATATCTAAATGAGAGGGAATAATTTTCCACTCCTGATCTCTGGACGTGGCCCCCAGGGACTCAGACTGACCACTCATAAAATGAGACTGTGTGAAGGACTGGATTAGAGATCTCCCTTTGGAAAGGTGTGGATTGGAGGGGCTCCCCAGCTACTCTCCACCTGGCTCAGACTTCATCTGGCCTACAGCGTAGAAAGTGGGTCTCCGGGCACCTTTGACTCCAGAAAGTCTTCCAAGGTCAGCAGTGTCCCTCATCAATTATTTCCTTTTGTCTGCCTCTCCTATCAGCCATGCATCCTGGGTGGAGTGGCTGCTCAGTATCCCCCAATTCCTACCCTTTCAGCCCTGCAGACAGAGCCCAGCCTCTTGCACCCTCAGCACCAGAGACTACCAAACTGTCAGAGAAGGAGGAATTTAGTGAGGCTGCTGATCTGGTGCTTGGGGAGGGAAGATCCTCAGTGATCACTGCTGCTGTGAGGTTACTGGACCAGTGCTTGGGCCTGGAAGACCCAATCACGTCCCTTCAGCACCACAGACAGCCTCCACGGGTCGACGCCACATCAGCACCACGGACAGAGCACCGTTGTTAGAGTACTGTCGCCCTTCCCTTCAGCACCGCGGACAGAGCCCTGTCTCCCTTCCCTTCAGCACCGCGGACAGAGCCCTGCCTCCCTTCCCTTCAGCACCGCGGACAGAGCCCCGACTCACGGCAGACGTCCGGGCTGCGCCAGGACACACACACGCCTGCATCTTGGCAGGCCTGGGCATAGGCCGCCACAGCCGTGCAGAAGCATTCACAGTCACCGCCCGAGTCGCAGGCACACGCGTCGCTCACACAGGCCTCGTAGTATTTGGTGGGCTCCACCTGCAAGAGAGATGTCAGATTCAAGGGGCGTCTCCCTGGTGTCTTGGAGTTAGGCTAATGTCGACCTGATTGCTGTTCACAGTAGCTCCGTGAAAACAATATTAGGATCCCAAAGAAACCATGAGGCAGGGGGCTATGCTGAGCACCGTACCCTCAAGCCACACCCAGCAATTTAACGCTGCTAGGATCCTTCAGTCCAATGGCTGGCAGGATCTTCACAAAACGATCAATGTGGCCTAGGTTGGTGCTTTGCAGTTGTTCCACAATGCAGTTTCCCCAGTTCCAAATGTTCCCACCTATTGCAATCCTTTTTATGCTTGGTCCCCTGCATCTTAGACCCTCCCTCCTCCCTCCAAGGCTCCATACGTGGGCATGGCAGGTGGTGAAGGTGGCACTGTGGAGGATGCTGCACTGCTTCTGGGCCCACGACTTGCGATAAGGGTTGGCCGTGCACGGGTCTCTGGGGGCGAGGGCATCTGGGCAGGATGGTGAGAACTTCCAGCTGTTCCCGAACTCCAGCACGTCGCCCACCACGGACAGGCTCCGTGTGGTGAAGTCATTGATAGCATTGCCGTCGAAGTTGCCACACAGCCCACACACCTTCCCCTGTGGACAGGCAAAGGGGTTGTGGACCAAGAACCAGGAAGGGGCTCAACAGTAACACCAAGAGGCCTGGAAGCTAAAGGTCTGTGAAGTGTGGAGGGAGTTCTCAGTGTACCCCCACAGTCAGACAGAGATGGGCCATCCTGGATATTCCAAGACCACAAGCCCACAGTCTAACAGCAAAACGAGCTTTGTTTCTTCTTCTCTTAGTCTTCCTGATCGTGCTGGAGGGACATGGGGTGCAACTGCTGGATGTGGGGTGCAGGTATGGGATGCAGTACATGAGTTCAAGATGAAGAAAGCACGATGAGGTCTGTGAGATATAGTTGCAGAATGAGGGATGCAGATATGGAATATGGTACACAGGTTCAAGATAAAAGAGGTGACATAAGACTGGATCTGGATGCAGGAGGCAGGTGCAGGACAAGGGTCTGGTCTCTCTTGTGACTAGACCTGGATAGAGGACTGGTCACCTTACTGGTCTTCCAGAAATCTCAGGGACCAGGCCAGAGTAGGTTTCTCTGGGGAAAGGTCTTATAACAAATATCAGTAGGATCTCTAGATGGGCAGTCCTTCCCAGAGGTAGCCCCAGGGATCTTCCCTACCTCCTTTTTTCTGTATCCTTCCTCTCCTTCTCTCAGCCTCTCCCTCTCCTATTTTCTCCCTCTCCTTTTCTCTCTCTCCCCCTCCTTCTCTCTCTCTTCCTCTCTCTCTCTCTCTCTCTCTCTATATACACACACACACACACACACACACACACACACACACACATCCTTCTCTCCCACTCCCTCTCTCTCTCTCCCCCCCTCTGTTTGTATCTCTCTCCCTTTCTCAGTCTATTTCCGTCTCTGTCTCTCTCCCTTTTTCTTTTTATCTCTTTATATCTCTGTCTGTTTCTCTCTTCCTCCTCGCTCTCTTTTTTTCTCTCTTTCTCTCTCTGACTGCCTCTCCCTCCCTCATCCTACATATTCTGTGTTCCCAGAGGGCTGTCTTTCTCTCCCTGCAGGGACAGCCAGAAGGGTGGGGAAGGCAGAGGGTGTCCTGGACACTGGCTGACCTTGAATTCAGGACTAAGTCTGAGAAAGAGGCTGGTCTTCTTGTCCCACTGGAGCACGAGGCCAACATCTGTGTCCACAACCAGGTAGATGCCCATCTGACGGATGGAATAGGGCACCACCTGCCCAGTCCCCTTCTCAATTACTTCCACTTTTCCACTGCTCAGCTTCAGTTCATAGCTCTGCAAAGAAGGAAGCTGGGACTCAGGCTCTACCAGAAGGCTTGCCTCTGGTACCCTGTGAACACTGCCAGAGCAATGTCTTCTGAAGAAGTCACTTGTTCCCCTTGGTCACTCACTCACCCTGCTGAGAACATCTCATCTAGAACAGCCCACCTCCTACTCACTCACCCTATCAAGAAGTCAGTGCTCTCTACTCACCCCCACGAATACTTTGATGGCCTTGGAGCAGGTGGTCCCTGTCGTACCACAGGGAATGTTCTCGGTGACAACTCGGAAGGAGCCCTGGGTGCTGCTGTTGCCTCCACAGTGGTCCTAGGAGTGCAGGAAGCTGTCCCAGCTGTCCCCTCACCATCCAGGGAATAAGGCTGACCCCCACACCACAAGGTGCAAGATGGTACAGGGATGGGTGCTAGGTTGCAGAGGAGGTGTGGCTATGGGATGGTAGTCCACAGAGGTAAGGAGTGCTGAGTCTAGGGTGTGGCCTTGAGCATGACAGGAATGGTCTGAGTTGTAGGCAAGACAGTGTGAGTAGCACAGGGAGGGCACTGAGCCTGAAGAGGCCCTAAGATGGGGGCGGGCGGGCTGAGCCTCGAACGGGGCTGCCACAGGGGCCCTGTAAGCACCCACACACCTGTACCAGCGTGTACTCGCAGTCCCCTTCAAAGGTGAAACGCTGGCCATCAAAGGTGAGGTAGTGGCCATCCCCATACACTGCACAGGTGGCTAGGCAGGGCTCCTGGGTACACTGCCACATCCTGTTCTTGCAGGTACTACGGGCAGGGTGCAGTCACAAGTTAGGTCAGGCTGTGGCACGCACCCTACTGGGAGCTTGGTTTGTCTGAGACCCCGTGGGGCCTCAGTTAGGGTATAGCTCCTAATCCAGGGGGGACATCAGCACCCCAGGAGTCAGGACTGAGCCCCCCCTCTGTGATTAGGCTCTGTGGCTGCAGTTACATACATTTGTTTATGTGTCCCAAGGACGTCTTTCTAGGGACCTGCTCTGCCTCTGAAGGAACCCTGGTGGTGCAGTGTGTTGCATGCTGTGTTTGTAATTAAAAGGTTAGTGATTTGAATCTACCAGATGCTCTGTAGTAAAAAGGCGAAACTGTGTCCTTCAGGAAGTTTCCTGGCCTCGGAAGTTCGATGGGGTGCTGTGAGCAGAACTCATTTGATGGAGTGGGTGGTATGTGGTGTTTGGGGTTTCGCTCTGCCTCTAAGGGACATTGCCCACCTTGGGGACCGTTGCATGGCCTGAACACCCCAGCCAGGGCCCTGCTGATACACACCACGCATTGCAGCCGACACGGATGGTTTGGCCAGCCTTGTAGCTGGCCTCATTGTGCACACAGGGGCAGTCAGCTGCTACGATGCAGCCGCCTTCACCATCAGACACTAGCCCGTCGGGGCACACGCAGCCAGAGATACACTGGGGGCTGTACTGCAGAGGCAACAGACACAGGTGATGAGGTCAAACTGAAGCAGTGTGCAGAGCCAGAGAGTGTGCACAAGAACTTGGGTAGGGATAGGGTGGACAAGACAGGGACCGAGAGGAGCCAAGGACTCCCTGCCTGGCCTGCTTGAGCTACCCTGGGACCTCAGGGACAGTGACCCTGGCAAGCAAGGGAGTCGAGGGCCCAGGAGGTGACACTCATGATCTCCCAGGACCCCTGCCTGGGTGTGGCTCATGCAGGTCACTGTATGGCAGTGGTGGTTCCAAGGGTCTACTTGCTCTGAGGCCTTGGACCCTCTGCACAGGCATCAGAGGGACCCACATCCTTACACAGGCCATGTCCAGGGTGTGGCAGCTCTTCTGACAGCCAGCTCCTGCAGCTCCAGATGTGGCATTCCGGCAGTCAAAGTAGACCATGGGTGCTCTGCAGACTGGGGAAGGGGATGCCATTCAGGGGCCCTTCCCCCCACACCTGTTCCTCCTTGCAGGGCATCCCACCACCAATAGGAGCAGAGTGTGCAGGTCCTCCAAGGTCTAACCTCTAATCTGCTCAAGGAAACCCAAGATAGGACAGGCCGACTGTCATTCACGTGAAGGTGGATATTGTGAATGAGCACGTCAAGGGCTGCCAGGAAGTGAAGGCCACAGAGCATTTAGAGGTAGATGGCGAAAACCAGTGCCCTGAGGGACAATATTTGGCAGTTGGGCACATATCACCTCTCTCTGCTCATCTGGGTGCAGCCCAGCTGTAGGGGTGACCCTACTCCCTCGTCCCATGCTGCTGGTAACAGCAGCTTCACAGTGGCTTGGACCAGAAGCTGCCAGCACATGTGTCTGTGTGAGTATGTGCATGCATGTGACTGTGTGTGTATAGTATGTGAGTGCACATTTACATGTATATCCTATGTCATACCCTATGCTTGCATATGTGACTATGGGCATGTGTGTTTAAAATGTGCTTGTGTGTGTACATGTATATGTATATGTGTGTTGTGTGTATGTGAGTGTTTGCATGTGCACATGTGTGTATGTGAGGTGTATATGTACATGGGGTCTGTGTGTGTGTGCATGTGTGTAGTATGGATGTGTGCATGTATGAATGTGAGTGGACCAGGCATGTGTGTGTGTGTGTGTGTGTGTGTGTGTGTGTGTGTGTGTGTGTATACATGCATATGAGCATGTGTGGCATGTATGCATTCCCTTGCCACGTCATCCCCCCGTGCTGACTCCGGGGGGGATGTAGGTTGCCCTTGGTTCAGAGAAGCTGCCCCCTATCACTGAGCCAGGTGGATGTGGGATATAGTTGGTCCCAGACTCACTTCATGGGCTTACTGCACTTTCCTTCCTCTCAAAGCTGAAGCACTCACCTGAGGTGGGAGCATGGCCTCCGACGCAGGTCAGTGTCCCCTTAGTGCAGGTGCTGTGGGGAGAGTACCATCAGAGCCCTGCTCAGGCCTTAGTCCCACCAGCCTGACTCTGATTGCAGGATCTTACCAGACGGTCCCGCCATCGTGAACTGACTCTCCGTTGGGCACCACCGAGCCCCGATAGTAGCAGGGGCAGTAGGCAGCTGGCACACACTTGCCCGAGTCATCCAGGAATGTGCCATTGGCGCAGACACAGCCATCCACAGGCACAAAGCTGATCTGGCAAGTGACATCCTCTTCGCTCAGAGAGCGGCAAGTGGGTTGGCAGGTACTGACATAGTCAATGTAGGTCAGTGACTTGGGGCAGGTGGTCATGGGTTTTGCTGCAGAGACCCCAGAAAAGGAAGATTCAGGTCAATCAAAAGTAGAGCTGGGTAGTGATCACCAAAGTCTTCTAAATGCTCCTCTGCCTTCACTCCCGGACCACTGCTTCTTATTTGCAGAGTCCCAGGTGCAGGGAGTGTGTGTCTAAGTCCCCAGGTTACCAGTGGCTGGTGAGGGTGGTGTGTGCTAAGGTTTGCAGGGCTCTCCTCGAGCCCTCGGGCATGAACTCACCGCACACACGGTCCCTCCAGCCACGCAGCAGCACTCCTTTAGCCGCACATGTGTGCACGTAGGCAGACAGCGCTGCGCACAGGCAGTCCTCAGTCTTCTCACAGTTGCATGTGTCGAACATGCAGTTCTGGGGAGGAGAGTGGGGCAGGTTGGGACCTCAAGTAAGTATTGGCACCCCACATTCCAGCCTCTTTCTTAGTTTCCCATCTTGTGTCTCTCTGAGACCCTTGTTTTTCCATGGGACCTCACTACCTCCTCTGAGACCTGCTTCAAGCCTTGCCAGACTCTTCTCCCACATCTGCTATGGGTTTTGAGCTGAGGATTTAAGAATCAAGTGCTCTACGTGGGGGTGTTCTGTAATGAGTTAGAGTTCCAGAGGCCAGTCTTATTTTATTATACTCTGACAGGTTCAGAAACAAAATGAGGACCACCCCAGAGTTCCACTTACCAGAATCCTAGTGTGAACTTCTGTGTCTGTTATAAGGTGGTGAGGTGTCAGACATCCCCGGTAAATAAGTGGGTGGATGGATGCATGCATGCATGATTGTGTGGATGGATGGATGGATGGATGGATGGATGGATGGATGGATGGATGATGGATAGATGGATGGATAGATGGATGGTTGTGTGAATGGATGGATGGAGGATAGATGGATGGATGGATGGATGGATGGATGGATGGATGGATGGATGGATGGATTGATGAAAAGTTGTGTGGATGGATAGATGAATGGGTGGATGGATGGATGGATGGATGGATGGATAATGGATGAATAGTAGATGATGGACAGGTGGATGGATAGATGGATGGATGATGGATGAATAGTAGATGATGGACAGGTGTGTGGATGGATGGATGGATGAAAGATGAATGATAGATGGATGATAGATAGATAGATAGATAGATAGATAGATAGATAGATAGAAGAATGGGTGGATAGGTGATTAGATGGATGGATAAATAGATGGGTGGATAGGTGTATGTGATGAATGTATGCATGGACAGATAAATGGATGGGTGGGTGGATGGATGGATGGATGCATGGATGCATGGCTACATGGATGGATGTATAGGTGAGTGGGTGAATGGATGGGATAAAAGGAACAAAAGAAGATAATGAAATTGGAGGCTCAGGATTGGTTCCAGGCTCCCCTATCTTGACTGATGGAAGGCTAGGTGGAGTCAGGCAAAGAAAGACATGGGCAAGTCACCTCCAGCCCTCACATCTCCCTGCAAGTTCTCCCCATTCTAGTGCTTTCTCTTGTCTCCTGAAGATGACGTCACAGTCCATGTGGGGACTCAGCTGGGAGGGGAGCAGGAAGTGAGTCTTACTGAGTAGTAGGTGGCCGGGTTCACTGTGGCATGGCAGTGGGCGAACGGTCCCTCTGTGTCTGTCAGCAGTGAGCACCAGTGTTGTGCATACTTCTCTGTGGACACAGGAGGTGCATGCCAGATGACTTAGGCCCACACCACCCCAGGTCAGTGCATAACAGTTCATTGCACAGCCCAAGATGCAGACTAAAGGTTCCACACTAAAGACAGCTGAGGTGTCACCAGGTTGATGGGCTTCCTGCTCTCTCTGAACTGCTGCACCTCCCACCCCCCACCCCCAAGCTGCTCACCTACTGGGGGCATTAGTGGTGGGCACTGTGTGTGGACACAGAGTCCCTGAAGACCCTCCCCTCAGCACTGATGGGTCCTTGCATCTTAGGTGACCCAAAGGAGAGGAAAGAGACCAGCAGAAATCTCCACCCATGTAGGGCTGAACAACTGGTCAAACATCATGGCTCAAACATCACAAAATTGCCCATAAAACAAACACGTACCACATGTGGCAAGTGAGCTATGTGTCGGGGCCTCCCCCTAAGGAGCATCCCTGGCTGGTAAACAGGTACACTAAGCCCTCAAGATGGGACTTCATTTTCTTCCAGAACATTCCATGGTGATACCAGTCTTGGTATTGGTTAATTTGTCCATCTACCACCAACTTCTTTACCTCTAAAGCAGGCCAGAGTGACTGGCTGGACCTGTGCCTGGACTTTCATGGCCCTGGGGGCTTCTGGGCAGACACTGTTCAAGTGGGTCACCCCCTCAGTGCAGAAATGTCATGGATGGGCTGGCCCCAGGGCAGCAGGATAGTGGGGGCAGATGTGTACCATTCTCCACACTGAGGGAGCAGGGGTCCTCGAAGCTGTTCTTGACGTTAGGGCAGGAAGCCTGGGTCTTCCAGGTGTTAAAGAAGGCGGCTGCTGTTCCCTCCACCACCCCGCTGATGGTCCGGAAGTCATCTGCTTGGATGCTGTTGAAGTTCCCACAGAGGCCTGGGCATGGGCACAGGGTGGCGTGAGGCCTGGACACTATGGATGGCCAAGGGGTTATGGCCTGGGGACATGGCAACACCTGGAGCTAGGCTGGTGCCTCTTACCACAGGTCAGGCCTTGGAGTGTAGGTGTCAGCCGCAGGAAGACCTGCATGGTGGGCACCAGCTGGATGTCCAGCTGCAGGCCGAAGGTGGTCTGGGCAATGATGAAGAAGGTAGAGGGCCTGAAGAGGGTGACATTGGCTGCAAGCAAAAGGATAGTACTTCAGGGGGTGCGAGGTATAGGGTCCCCAGACAGTGCGGGCCTCACGGGCAGTCCTCACCTGCAGAAACGGGCAGCTGGGTGTAGATCTGGTTCACAAACACCTCACCACTGGCCTTGACCACGATGACCTGAGGGCACAGCACTTGTTAGTGACCAGTCAGGGGAGCCCCCATTGCCTGCACCTTCCCCGTGGGACTGAGTGATGTCTGAGGATACGCTAGATGACCTTCGCCAGCAGGCCTGGGGGTGGGGGGAGTTCACCCTGCAGCCCCTCCATGAGAGTCCGTAGACTTAACAGCTCAGTCATTTTGGGGGACAATCACTCAGCTGTCCCCTGCATGAGTAACACTGCAAAGTGGTAGGCACCCTGGGCCACCCCCTCCCCAGCCAGGTCTGGACGCACTCATCATGTGTCCTCTCCCCCTGCCCTCATCTTGCTGTTTTCCCAGGGCCAGCACACTCACCGTCTGGCCCCCACCCAGACTGAGCGTCACACTCTTAAGGCAGGTCTCGCTGTCGGTCAGTCCACATTTGCGCAGCTCAGCCAGCACGGTGAAGGCGCCGCCGTCACAGGGCTGCAGGACACAGGGTTTTCATCTCCCCCTATCTGCCAACCCCCACTACAGAGTCTCCTTCTTGTATGTAAGCTCAGCAAAGAGAAACTAACAGAACCCCAAGGGCGTAGTCTTAGGACCCCTTCTCCATGGGACCCGGGGGTACGCAGAGCCTGAGGGCTCAGTCAGAGGAGACACGTGCTGGCCAGCCTCGGGGCCTTCTCAAAAAGCCAGAAGAAGGAGACAGTGTACACGTGTGAGTAAGTGCTCACCTGCTGACCAAAGGCTGAAGGTTTAACCCACCCACTCACCCACCCACCCACCCAGAAGCATCTCAAGACAGGCCTGGTGGTTCACTTCTGAAAAATCACCCTGGAAAACCAATGGAGCACAGTTCTACCCTGACAAGCAGTCACTCGAGTCAGACAAGTGTGGAGGAGATGGGTGGACCGAGGGAGCGTAGAGTCTACAGGCAGTGAAAGAGTCCTGCAGGGCACTGCAGTTACCGCAATGTAGCCATGTGGCTCATGAAACGGAACAGTTATCACAGCAACATTAGCTGTGTGTGCAAGGGGGTGGCGGGAAGTATGGAAACGCTCCGTACCTTCTCTTCAATGTTTCTGTAAAGCTACAACTGCTTTAAAAAAACTACACCTATTAACTTAAAAACAAGGCTAGAACAAGAGGTTCAGAGAGGTCACGGCACAGACCAGTTGCACAGTGCTGACTGGTACAGGGATGGCTGAGTGGTGCCCTGAGGCCTTCACTAGCTAGTCTGGCCGGGATGTGGAGCTGGGGAGGGCCAGGTTGGGCATGGGCCGAGAGTTGGCAATGCCCAGACAGTGGCAATACCTTGGCCAGCACGTAGCTACAGTCCCCGTGTGCCGTGTACTGCTTCTCATCAAACGTGGAGAAGTGTGCGCCCCCCAGCACTGAGCAGGTGCCAGGACACGGGGTCTCCTGACAGCTCCAGCGGCCCCCAGAGCAGGTGCTGGAGGAAGAGGGGCATCCCATGAATTCTGTGGGTCCCAGGAGTCCCCAGTGCCAGTGTCCAGCCTCATCGTGGAAGCTAAGGACTGGCCCCTGAGCCCCAGGCCCCAGAGGTGCTCCTACCTCTCCCAGGATGGAGGCAGAGCCTCAGGACCTACCAGTTGGTGCAACCAGTGGAATAGACGGCCCCAGGAGGGTAGGACAACCCATTGTACATGCAGGAGCACTGGGCCGCAGGGACACAGCCACTTTGGTTGATGTCATCAAATACCATCCCTGTGAGAATGGGTAGCATTGGACTGATCACTGGGGTCATGCTTTCTGCAATCCCAGAGTGGCCAGCCAGTGTCCCCCAAAGACTCAGGATGTCTTGGGCTGGGTGTACTGTGTTTCTCGACGCCTATTCTAGGCCAGCAGGGGACAGAGTGCTGCCTACCCTGGGGACAGAAGCAGCCGCTGACACAATGGTCTTCACAGAGCTGAGCATGCTCGAGGTTGGAGCAGGTGTCGGCGCAGGGCAGGCCACACTCACGGTGCTCCATGTTGAAGGGACAGCCTTGAGCCGCTGTGACCAGAAAGATGGGACTCATGTCACATCCGTCCCTGTCTCAGGGGCTGGCGGAGATGAGCAGGCAACGGGCACTCACGGCATAGGTCGGGGGTCCGCCACTCCCTGGGCACCCCTCCAGCATGCACACACTGCCGGGAGTACTCTGCCAGCGTGGGGCAGGTGCAGCTGGTGGGACTGGCATCAAGACAGAGGCACGCGTCCTGCTGGCAGGCGGCTATGTAGCTGCTGACGTCCACCAGCGTGTGGCAGTCCGAGAAGGGCTGGCTGAGAAGGATCTTCTGGCAGAACTCCTGCAGGCAAGACCACGAGCCACACTGAGTCCTGGGCCAGAGCAAGTGGGGAGGTACAGTCCCACCTGCCATGCCGAGACACCACCACCTCATCCCCATGTCTGCAGAAGCAGCCCTCCCATGCCAGGGTTTGTCCCAGGGCACACCAGTCCAAACGTGCAGTTGCCCAGGGGAGTGGGTGTGGGGTCCTGGCACTGCTCCATGGGTCCATCCAGCTTCTGCAGGTTCCCATATTCAACAGGGGTCAGCTTGACGTCTATGAGACATACATGTGGGCATTACTGTGGGCTCAGGGTCCTCCTCATCCCGCAGCAGAGCTCTGGCCAGTGGCGGGCGGTGGGAGACCAAAGGGCCCAAGAGGTAAACTGCTTGCCACCTACAGCACTGAGGACAAAGATGTGTGTGAGTCACGCGGGTGGACATGAGTGCACACACACGTGTTCTGAGCTGTACGTGTGTGCTCTGAGATCGCGAGTGTGTGTAAGCTTTGCTAACCCAGTTCAAATCCCCAATGGCACGTCAAGAGGACGACGGATGGCCTTCTCTGTGTGACCACCACCTTGAAAACCCAGCAGAAGGTCAGTGATGAGTCTGCTGTGACCAAGCGCCAATGAGGGTTTCTAGTCTAGCCCATGAGCGGAGCTTGTTAACACATCCAATGTAGGCGTGTGCTGCGTGTTTGTGCAGGTGCATGTGCTTGTGTGCTGCCCTGGTGATACGTCCATGCTGACGTGTATGTAGATGTGCCAGGATTGTGATGTGTGATGTGAATATATGAGTGTTTACCCTGTTGTGCACACACACCTGCTGGATGAGGTTGTGTGTACACGTGTGAGCACGCACACACTTGAAGAGAGCCCCCCGCATGACCCCTGGGTGCCCAAACAAGGCACAGCAGAGGGCTTACTGTTGGAGAAGAACTCGTTGAAGACGGGAATGCCGTTGAAGTCCCCACAGAGCCCACAGGTCTGGTTAGCATACTTGTCATCCAGCTCCAGCTGGAAGGAGAGGTGACATCAATCAGATGCTTGTCTAACCATGGACATGCTGGGCATGCTGGACAGATGGGGTCTGGGAGCCTCAGAAGGGGCTGGACATGCTGAGAGAATTCCTGGCTGGTGGGACTCGCCTGTGGACCCTGCATGTCTAGCAGAGCTCAAGGTGGCACAAGGCTGCCAGCCAGGCCTGCCCCGGGGGACCCCACAGACGGGACCCTGAGTTGAGGATGCAGAGTCAGGGCTCCATTATAGTCTAGACATAAGCTTCACCCACCACCTTCCCAGAATGGGCCCCTTTCAGGAGAGAGGCTCTTGCTCCCTCAGAGGCTCTGCCCCCCTTACCAGGAGACTGTTGTCCAGGTTCCACATGAAAACCAGCCCCATGCGGGCGGCCACCTTCAGGTACAAGCTGTTCTGCTCGATGAGGACCCCAGACTGGCTGAAGGGCAGCTGGACCCTATGAGAGAAGCTAACTGTCATGGCCAGAGGGGACAAGCTCCAAGGACAGGCTCCAACAGGGAGACTGAGCCTGGGACAAGGACCCTGTGGCCTGTGTGTGACAAGTTCACAGTGGTTCTGGACCCTGCCAGAATGTATGGAGTCACATACAGGACAGGTACGTGGGGCACAGAAGGAGGGGGTCCACTTCCAAGGGCAGAGCAAGGCACCCTGAGGCCCCGGAGGGACAGTGAGCTGGGCAGGGAGTGCTCAGTCACTCTATGTCCCTCCTGAGGCCAAAGATCATCTATTCCTTCTCAGAAATGATACTTCCATGCAGGGCCACTCCATGTCCCCAGGGTGAGACTCACGGGTGGCCATTGACCAGGACGGAGCTCTTGGTCAGCTGGAGCACCATGCCATCAAGCTTCATAACCACCTTGCTGGGCACGGTGGCATTGCCTCCCTGGCCACGGCGTACTTGGATGTTGAAGTCCTCATAGGAGGCATGGCAGTTGGAGGAGAAGACGTAGTTGCAGAGGCCAGGGAACTGGAAGATGTCTCCATCGAAGGTCTTGTAGTGGAAGTCACCCCACGTGCTGCAGACTCGCCCATTGTGGGCTGGGTTCAGAGCTGGAGAGCAGCAGGGGCTCTCTGAAGATGGGGAACCCCCAGCCCTAGCCCATCTGTTCCAGGTTCCCACCACAGGCCGCTGCCCCAGGTGTAGTTCCTGGGGGAAACGGAGGCCCTTTCTGAGGACTTGTGTCTACTCTCAACGTGGACTCCACCCAGCAACTCCTGGGGGCTTGAGAAAGAAGATCCATCAAACACTCAGACCCAAGCCCTGCCCTTGGGGCTTCACTCACCTCGTACAACAGGAATCGTCTTCATCGGGGGGAGGATGGTCACCCCACCAAGTGGGCTACCTGCAAGAGCAGGTGAGTGTAAGGGACAGCCTTGTCCCCGGCCCCATGGACTGAATGAAGGATCTGTTGTCTGGGGCAGCCAGCCCTGAACACTGCCTTTGGGTATTTCCATGGTGTGCTCCTCACGTGGGGCACAGGTGTGGGACGGGCAGTGCCATCTCAGCTGAGGAAACGCACCCCTGGATGTCACTGTCTTGACTTGCCATCACTGGAGTCCACCGACGGCTGTCTGCTTCGCCCTAACTGCCCTCCAAAGTCCCATTGGCACAGGACTCCTTGTCCCCAGAATCCCACCATACCTGAGTCCACACCAGTGGCTCTGCCTGAGCTTCTGGCTGTTGAGTTAAAGTCAGAGACCCTCCCTGGGCCCCCAGAGAGGAAGGCAAAGCCCCTGTGCTGAGTCGATTGCCCAAGCCCTTCCTGCTCACCTGCCTCGGCCCAGCCATAGGGGATGGGATCTGGTGGCCATTCACCACCTAGGGTTCAGCCCCCATCCCATGGCATCAGAGCTGAGAAAACAGGGCTTGTGCTAAACAGGGGGCCTGGAGACCAGGAGCCCTGTCACAGATGAGGGCATGGGACCTGGCCAACCGTTATCCTCCCTCGGAGGTCCCACAGGGCCCGGCCTGGACATTATGACCAAGATCACACCAAGGGACCTGCACAAGATCCAGTCCTCTTGGCCCACCCTGAGGAAACACCCTGGGCACACAGTGGCCCCAGCAACCAGCAGGCTGCCCTTCTTTAAGGAGAGGTACTGAGTTGGTCATTCAGCTACAAGAATGATGGGCCTGAGAGGGTATAGAAAGGCCGCCAGCAGGTTGGAGTAGCACGTGCTGTGAGTCCCTTCAGTGGAACTGATCAGGAGCACCTGGGTGGGTGGGGTCTCAGGGCTCTGCCTGAGTTGGGAGTGGGTACAGAATGGAGCATGTGACTCACCTGGATGGATGGGAGGGAGGTCTGGGTGGTACTTATAGCTGGATTCTGAGGGGCTGTGCTGGGCATGGCCTGTGGGGAAAGAAGGGCAGGAGTCTTTGAGTGTGGCAATGACCACTATTTTAGAAGAGTGGTGTTTCTGGCAAGAACACTGTGCTGGCTGACTAGGGCTCTGGCCAACAAGGACCTTTGTCTTCCAGGTTTGAGTCTTCAGGGTCCTACTGGGCTAAAGCCAACTCAAGAACCTCAAGAGCTTCCCTTCAGCTTGGCCTTAACAGGAGCTTGACATTTGGTGGAAAGTCTCCTCTCCTTGACCTAGTCTCTAGTTTGTTCATCCATCCGCCACCATCCACCCATCACTCATCCATACATACATACCATCCTCATCCATCCATCCATCCACCACCCATCCATCATCCATCCGTCCACCCACCCCATCTATCCATCAACCATTCATCCATCCATCCGCCACCATCCACCCATCACTCATCCATACATACATACCATCCTCATCCATCCATCCACCATCCATCCACCACCCATCCATCATCCATCCGTCCACCTACCCCATCTATCCATCAACCATTCATCCATCCATCCACCATCATTCACCCATCACTCATCCAGCCATCCATCCACCACCCATCCATCCCTCCCCTACTCATCCACCCACCACCCTTTCATCATACATACAGCCAACACTCATCTACCTATCCATCCATCCATCACGCATACATCATACATCCACCCATTCATCATGCATCCCCCAGCCATACATTCATTAATCACCTATCCATTATACATTCATCCCTCCCACACTTATCTATCCATCATACATGCATCCACTGCTCATCTATACATCTATCAGTTACCCATCCAACCCTCATGCACCTACGTGCTGATGCTGGGGAGTCTCCTATGCACTGGGCTGTGAAGGGATGTTGTCAGAGGGTGTTCAGTGTTCTGGGAACACTGAACTTTGTAGAGCCTGGGCAACCAGGAGTTAGGGTTCATGGAGTGGATCCATCCCTCCTATTCTGACCATGTTGGTCTGCCTCTCCTGCTACAAGATGGCTCTATAGGGACAGACCCTCTAGGGAAGCTTGGGAGGTGGATCAGCCAGACAGCTGATTTTACCTTCCAAGTGGCAACTGGTGGCTTGGCCCTGATTACAGCCCTCTCCAGTCATGACCCCAGGAACATTGGGTTCAGCGCTTGGTCAGTGGCCAGAAACCTAGGCTCCTCCCTACAGCACTACCTTCTGGAAAAGTTCCACCTCTGTTCACTTGTACTGCCTCAGTGTCCCCCAGGCACAGGTAAGCGGGTCTTCTGCGAGTGGTGTGGGGTCTCCTGCCACCTTACATCCTGAGCTCCCCTGAGCCTGACATCACACCACCACAGGGTCTGAGTGCCCATCAGGAGACCACACCAAGCCCAGTTACTGCACAAGGAGAAAGCGGTGACAGGTATACTTAGCAAACTCCCAGGGGCCAGTGGACCTTTTCTGCCCTGACCAGCCTGGCAGGGTGGGACTGTACCCTGCTAGTCACAGCCACCTCTGGCGGAGTCACAGAGGATCTCCTGCTGCAGGGTGGGGGCTTCCAGGCACCGAAGCTCCAACAGCAAGCTGGACCAGCAGGGGCTTGGACACCTTCCCTCCCAGAGCCCCTGCTCACACCCTGGACCCTGCAATCTCCAGATCCCTAGTTCATGAGGGGTCAGCTGGGGCCACAGGCAGGGTTTGAGGAACCCCTCATGGACCTCCTTGGTGAGGTACACCAGGATAAGGCTACCCCAGGACTTGGGGACAGGCCTGAGGGAAATGGACAGTGAAAACCATACCTGTGTGCTGGGCACAGGCCAGAGCCAGAGCCAGAGCCCAGAGTGCATTCAGCCTCCTCCTGCCGACAGCCATGATGACGTTGAGGGGACAGTCCCCAGGAGGGCCGTGAGGAGAGGCCTGAGCCTGCAGGAGCCTTTTATAGCCCCAGAGCTGGCTTAACCCAGCACTCCACGTGGGTGGGCGGAGTGGGCCCATGACACCCCCTTGACCAGGTAAACAGTGGGTGCCCTCTGAGGCAGGCAGGGAATGGGCGGGTCTGCTGGGGTGGGGCCTGCTTGGCTGAGGGCCTTTGAAGTCCTGGCCCAAAGATGTCTTCCACCTGGGTACCCACTGTGGACTTTCCTAGGCAAATTGTGGGCTTTTCAGTCTGACCTCTGAGTCAGACCCTCACCTCTTAGGTGTTTAGGGTCAGCAGGCTGAGGGCAGCAGGCTGGGGGAAGTAGGATGAGGTCAGCAGGCTGGAGCAGCAACCCCTGAGGACCTCTACCTCCAGCGTAGCCCATCCCTGTGACCCTGAGACTCCCATCCCAGGTGGAAAGTGGGCAGCTCGGGGGTCAACTTGGTCAACCTTTGCCCTGTGGCTGCAAGCTAGGAGTCATGAACTCAGCGGACCCTTGTTCAGGAGGCCTCCAGGGAGATCCTGCCTGACCGGCTCCAGTGATGAAGTCGCCCAGGTCATGGTGGCTGAGCAGTGAGTTCCTTGTCTGGGGACGCTGGGACTGGACTCTGCTGTCCCTCCTGGTACCCACCAGCCCTGGCCAAGGTCAGCAGCTGCATGTCTCATGGGCTGTGCTTGAACAGATGACCCCAGGTGGGGTCAGCCCCTTCCCTGCAGCTCCTGGCAGGAGGTGAGCCCAGAGGTCCCACGCTAGTGGTTGGGAATTCATTCGTGTGGCGTCTGTCCGCCAGAATGCCCCTTCTGGTGTCCTGCTCTGGTAAAGTGCCTGGGAAGGGCTGCCTCACAGATGACCTGATGGTGCATCAAGGGGCTGGTGAGTGAAAGAATGGATGGGCAGAGGGAGCGAGTGAGCACAGGAGTGGGGACTCCAACCTTCAGACCACCACTTATCACCTCTGAAGCTTCCCATTCACGCTGAGCCTGAGCCCAGGCCCCTCCCAGTGCCCAGTCCAGAGCAGTGCAGGGCCCTCCTGCGTCAGTGCATAAACAGTGGCCTCTCCAGTTGGCCAGGAGCTCAGGCTGTTCCCCAGGGGCAGGTAACGGACAGGTGGGTCCAGAAGGGTTGTGTGCTGTCTGTGATTTGGACAACATGTGTGTCAGAGGGGAGAGCTGTGCAGCCGCTTGGTCAGGCTGTGTCCACTCTGGATCTCAAAGAACACAGGATTATGTCACTGGCCAATCCACACCATGACCCTTGACCCCATGAGTCACTGGCCAGCCTTTGGCACAGCTTACCCTGGAGATCTGAGTCATGAGCAGTGGGCTGTCTCAGGTGGCCACTGACACCCTCCTAGTCGCATCTCTCTATGAGATGCTGCAGACCTACTGTGGGTCAGCTGGCTGGTCACCTAAGCTGGGGGTCCTCAGGGCCCCAACTCAGGCACTTGAAGCCATGGTAGACCCCCAGGCTAGCTTCCTTGTCCATGAAAACTCAGTGCAGTGCAACCGTCCCTCGGGCCCCAGTCCTATGCTCACCCCACATAGGTCAGATGCTCCTCCAGCCTCACCTTGCACCCACTAATATTGGAGGCCTCTGGGCTATGTGAGCTCTTAGCAACAGCAGGTCAGAAAGATCCGGGAGTAGAAAAGGCCACTGCTCTAGGCAGGGAACCCAGAGCTGTCTGTATCACGCCTGCAGAAAGCCCATCTGCGTGCAGGTACAGGAACCTGGTTTCTGAGCCAGCAGCTACCCGGGCACCCTGGGTCCTCAGCGCTGGACTTGAGCAGGTCCGCCGCCCCCGTGAGGGTGCCCAGGAACGCAAGGCTGGAGAGCCATGCTGGCTACAGACCCAGAACCACCCTACGACCTCTGCTCCAGAGTCTTCCCCAGGTACCAGTGAGGTGCCCACCCCAGGGTACATGGCAGAAAAGGAGGTGGGGGCTGCTGGCTGCTAGACAAGCCAAGCCGCCTGTCTGACCCAGCCTGGCCTCTTCCCCCGTCCCCAGAGCACGGGCTGACCCTGGGTCCCCACAGCCTGACTCCACCTCAGCCCAGCCCAGCTGGGACTGGCCGAGGCAAGGGTCAGGGGCTCTGCCTTCAGCACTTGACCTGTCACTTCATTCCAGTGCCTGGGTGAGTGAGGGCCCCAGACCAAGTGGCCTTCAGGCCTGGCTGGTCAGCCCAGTTCTGACCAGCAGTATCCGGGGAGGTCGTGTCCTCCTGGTGGTTCTCGGGCCAGCCTCCCCTCAGCCCTCTTCCCTCTCCAGTGATGGGGGTTTGGGCTTATGTAGAGAGAGAGGGAGATGGCAGCCTAACCATAATTCTCTCATCAACCCCTTGGGGGTCAGGGGACTGGCATGTTTGCAAGCACATACAACATTGCCCCCTAAGCTGCCCAAGACCGCCAGCCAAGACTCTAGACACTGGGCCTGAGGTGCCCCACCCTGAGCAGCCTGGGGGCCTGCAGGGAGGGATCATGGAGGGGGTGAGAAGAGCCCCAAACCACCAGAGAAGGGATCCCCCCTCCCAAGGCTAAGTACACCCAGCTCAGCTCCTGCCTTAGAAACAGACACGAAACACACCTACACACCTAAACTACCCAAAGCCACAGACTGACAGGAGACCAGGAACCAAAGTCAAGGCCTAGCAGCCCTAAGGTCTCAAAAAGAAAGCGGGGTGGCCAGACCCCTCAGGGCAGTGGAGAACTGACGGCCCCTGGGCCCTGCACAGACTCCCTCCACTTGTCCTCATGTTTTAGGGACAAAGCACCTGAAGCCGAGGAGGTGGCCTGGGGTCACACCCCACCTGCCTACATCCTCAGCATCTATAGGGTCCGATGGCCTGCAGTCCCCTCAGGCAGGCCTTGGGAGGACACCGGGGGGAAAAGATGTGTGGGCTCCCTCCTGGGACATCTGTCTGCGCCCTGTCCCATTGTCCTTCTACAAGGATCCTGGTTGACATTCGAGACAGCCCTGTACCAAGCTAGTGGGGTGCTGAGCATGCAAGGGACATTTTGGAGTTTCCTGAGGAAACAGAGCTGACGATATGGCCAAGGCGGCTGGCCACGGATCAGACACGGATCAGGAACAGCCTAGTGTTGACAGAAGGGGTGGCCGAGCACAGCGGAGGGCTTGCGACGTCCATGAGAAGAGGAAGGTGGGACCCTCTCCAGGCTTCCCTGAGGGTTCTGGGGAGCCAAACCAGTGAAGGTCAGGGTGGGGCTGCAGCGAAGTGGACTCCCCTGGGCTGGCTGGGCGGGCAGAGGAGGGCGTGGAGGGTAAATTTGGTTTGAGGGCTGCACTGATTGGAATGCCTGCTGCCTTGTTTGTCTTCTCTGAATCACTGGGTACACAGAATTCCTCCAGGGGCCAGAACTCTGGCTGAGGGGACGCCCTGACCGGGTCCATGGCCTGGGGCCTCATGAGCCTCACCTGGTCTGTGTGGGGGACAGGATTCACCTCCCAGGGCCCCCTCATCCTGGGGTCCTAAGATCAGCTTCTCCAGCCAGCCCCTGACCTCTCACTGTCCTCCCTCTCCTCTTCTGTCCTCAGGTTCCCCCAGGCTCACACTGGGCCTGCCCACTTTCTGGGCCTCAGCCCCCCTCCTACCTGCTGGAGGAGGTTTGTTCACAGACCCTGCCCCCCCACTCGGTCCTGCCACCGCAGGGGCTGTGACACCCACGCAGGGCAGAGGCTGCTCCCTGAGGACCTCGGGGAGCCAGCAGTCTGGCACTCCCACCCCAATCCTATCTCCTCTGCCTCAGTTTCCCCAATCTCCCACAGTCTCTGAGGCTTCTGCAATCCCATGGCCCACCCCCCAGCAGAAAGCAGCTGGGCCCCAGGACCCTGCCTCCGTCAGATGGCCTCAAGGAAACCGTAGTCCCGAGCCCAAGACTTTAGCCCCAGTACAAGGGTGGGCTATGCACCCCTCAGTGTCCTCAGCCAGGTCAGCAGGATCTGTCAGCGTGGAATCACCCTTAGGAACAGTGGAACAACCCCACTCCTTTCCAGAATGTTCCCAGGCGTCATCCGGCCTTTCAGACCCACAGGAAACACCTACACGGCAGGGTGGTTCCTGGGCTGTGACCGTGGGCACCCTCCATCTGAGGACACAGCCCCTGCCCTACAGGGCTCCTCATGCCCCATTTTCAGCAAGAACACAAACTAAACTAGATGCCATGGGGCAGGTTATGTGCAGACCAGGGCTATGAACTACCAACAGAAGAGAGATTTTGACCCTAACAGGAAGGACAGGCTCAGAGGGGGCTCCGCACACACTCTGAAGGAGTCCTGCTTCCACCACCAGCACCTGCTCTGACTCCCGGGGCCCAGCTGGCTTCCCAGGATGTCATTGTTACTGGAGGAGTCAGATCCTCGGGCAGCTGGTGGATTCAAACCTCTGACCTTTCAGTTAGTCCAACTCATCATCCACTGCATCCCCAGGGCCCCTAGTGCTTCCGGGAGGAGGGCCTGTGGCTGGACAGCGGGGGACAGCCTGCGACCAGGGCAGGGCCACCATCTGGGGCAACTGGGACAGCTCATTTCTTCCTCTGGTCAAAACACGTTGGACAGCAGTTAGGCTGCCCTGCGATACATCTCCGCCTTACTTTGCAATAGTGATTGCTGGACACTGAGTCCATCCGAGGCCTGCTGGAGGTTTGAACCTTCTGTTGGCTTTCCTGGGCTGTGTGGCCTTTCACAAGCAAATGCTCAGGCCCCTTAGTGGGCTTGAACAGCCGTCCTCTCAGGCAGTGCTTGGGAGCTCGCCCATCTGCACCAAGAAAAGCAATAAAGCAGCGAGCTTCCGGGCAAGTTCATAGAGGAGTGGCCCACCTGGCCTCAAAGAGGATCCGGGCTACCAGGCCGGGGCTGGTGACCTTGAGATTCAGGAGGCTGAGTGAGGGGAAGGAAACTCCAGCCACCTCAGCTTCCCTCATGACCAGTCCAGCCCGCA